AGTCTATTTCAAAGGCCGTCGAGCCGACAGACATGCCACGAACTATTGTATTGACTAAAACAACTAAAACCTGATGTGAGGAAAACTAAAACTATACGACGACCAGGCCCCGACATGTGAAAGTTTCCTTCTCGATAGTGACGACAGCTTGTTTTGACTATCCACTTACACACACACAATGAAACAAATGTTACCCCAGTGATGCGCATTTGTGTTTATTCCCCAACCAGAGATCGACAACACCGCAGTGCTTGCGCGAAAGACGACGGCAACCACACGGTATCGATGCAATAGAATCGCTCACCGAAACTCAATAAAGAGTAGCGGCGTGCGACAGCGATGGCAGGAGAGCCGCGGCACGGTTGATGCACCCCTCAACATATGAGCCTAACCATATCCAACGATGATGATTAACAAAACAATAATTATGCAAAACTACACACACAAGTCGATAAACCTCATTACATTATTGAACAATATCATTTTCCTGAATTTTTCAAGTAAAAATCGAAGACGATGGGAGGAGAATGATGACGGAATGTGAGTAAGCGCTCTGGATGAAGTGATAAATTCACTGATTTTTTTTGACTAACATAATCCACTGCATTAATCTACTATGGTCTCTATGCACGCAATACAATGGAATATCACGGGGCTTACCTGGGGAGGATGTACATACGGACTACGCTACGCTCGCTTTTTTTCAAAAGTAAAAATCGAGGTATGGCGACTCTCTGACCTAAGGACGTATAAAGCAATGCTGAGGCATGGATTCAAATGGTATCACTAGTAACACGAAACCCGACTACAAACTGCATCAATATGCACATGTGTTGTTCCCGTCCGCTTGTCCAATAGGAATGGCACCGGCTGTTATTTCAGTTGAAACGACGATTCCCTGACTGAAATCGGCCACCTCCACGACCCTGAAACGAGCAAAATGTGGAAAAATGTGGACGAAGCCTTCTACGTACCAACCAGGAAGAGATGGCAGGTTGAAGTAGCCGTTTGAAATGAAATGTCTACTACTAATTCATGTGTCTTCTGGTGACCACCACCAACCAGTCCTTCTTAGGAACCGTTCAGACTTCGCAATAGTGCGCGTCGACGCGCTACGAACCGATATCGCTGTGAAGGCGCTCCAATGCTAAGGACGGGAACGCAGCCATAAAAAGCGCTCAGACTTGATGACGCGCTGCGACGCGCGTCGATGAGTCTGCAATGCTATGGACGCGAACGCATCCACAGGTAGCGCTCAGGCTTCGTGATGGCGCGCATCGACGCGCTACTGTTGCAGCGGCGCTCCAATCCTATAGCCAAACGTAGCCGAAGACGGGAATGTGTCGGCGTGACCGCTTGCGCTCTGAGAGAGTATACTAGAACAGGAGGGCAGGCGCTGCCTCCACAAATTGGTGCTCTACCATTCCACTACACTCCCTCAAAGCTCTGACCGCCAGTGCCGATCGATACCAGATTGAGCGACTAGGCCTCGTGTACCCTCCTCTTCCCCCATATTTTCTCAGTGAAAAGTGGCCCGTGACGGTCGCTCCTGTCTGCTGCTGCGTTCGCGCCTACTATAGGATTGAAGCGCTGCTGCAATTGCAGCGCATCGAAGCGCTGCTGCAATTGCAGCGCGTCGAAGCGCGTCATCGCTAAATTCGAACGCTGACATAGACCAAGATCGATCGGCATCGGCCGCTAGTTTTGAGTATACAAGAATAGGAGGGTATCGTAGACTGTGATAAGGCAACGCCTACCTTCCTATTGTCAAGAGGGCTGAAACTGAAGGGTTTTAATTCTTCTTTTGATGATGGAACTGTCAAAGAATCGAAGTACACATCAAATTGATCGTTTCCCGCACACTCGAAAAAATGACTTACGTCGCCCGAGAATCATTAAAATTTCCCTAAGAACACAGGAATTGAGGGACAGACTTTTGGAATTCATGAGAAAAGGACAACTCGTACCAATGCTTCCCCCCTTCACTGCGGTCTTGACTGGGTTCACATTAGTACTGATACGGTGTATGAATCGCTCAAAAAGTTGCCTAATAGAAATTCTACCTCGCCCGATCACATTCCGTACATATTTCTCAAGAAAGCTGCCCTGGGATTGGCTACACCCTTAGCCTGTTGTTAATAAATTTTTATTGCTCGGCGAAACCCCGGACATATGGAGAATCGGACATGTACGTCCCATTCATAAAAAAGGGCCCCGTAATTTAGTGGAAAACTATAGGCCTATCTGCTTGACATGTTGCACCAGTAAGGTATTGGAAAGAATACTTTGCCATCACATTATATCATATCTAAGGGAAAATAACCTTCTTTCTGAAGCTCAGCATGGTTTCCTTAGTAAACGCTCCACTTCCACAGCACTAATTCAGTCGATCACACATTGGCAGAAAGAGTTAGACGCCGGCAACTTCATATCTGTTTGCTTCGTCGATTTCAAAAAAGCTTTTGACTCTATTTCCATCTCTCTCCTCATGAGTAAAGCTGAGAAGCTGGGCGTATCAGGGTGTAGTCTGGCTATCGTTTCTATACATTCCTTTCAGATACCAGTTCCGTCGTATATTAAATGATGCTCTGATCGATTTGTATCCCACCAACTAGCTGGGTCCCAAGGAGCTGTTTTGGACCCTTTTCATGTTTCTTATTTTCGTTAACGACTTGCCAAATGCGCTTCCACCAGGTGTTTTCGTAACAATGTATGCCGACGATTCCAAGTTGTATACGGTTAACAATGCTGGGCTTCTCCAAGAAGGTATTAATGCCTTACATCGGATGCGTTCCACCGAATGGACCTTGAATTCTTCAACAAAAGACAGTGTTATGTCTATAGGCAAGAATTCATCAGAGATTGTGTTCCATTTAGGAGAGTCTGTTCAGCAGTCAAGACAAATACGTGATCTTGGCATCACCTATGATGACACACTAAACTTTGAATGTTTCATCTCCAGCATCGCCGCCAATGCTAACGCCAGAGCTAATTTCATATTGAGAGCTTTCCAAACACGTGATCCCAATATCCTCTTCAAACTATTCTCTGCCTACGTTAGGCCGCTGCTTGGAGGTATTTTCTCCATCTGTGTCCCCTTATATGTGTTGATCTCATAAGCAAGATTGAGCAGTCAGAAGCGCTTAGTACCGCATTTTTGCAAGGAAGGGTATTTTTCGACTGTCGTATGAGGAACGGTTACGCTTACTCGGAGCCTTATCTCTAGAACAACGTAGAAAGGTTGCCGATCTAGTATTTCTGTATAAGATGACGACCGGTGAAGTTGAACTAAAACTCCTGATGTGTCCGTATGTCCCCACTCTTGGGTTAACTTAGGGCCACCCCTATAAGCTCTATCTCGGTCGAGGTAACACTACGGCTTTCAGGGGTTCATTTTCCTACAGAGTTATTGTGCCCTGGAATGAACTGAATGAGAATTTATTTCAAATAGAATTCACATGGTTTCAAAGTTGCTTTGATTCGATCAACTATCGAACGTCGTGCCGAATCAAGCCTTTTTCCTAATCGCTTTCATTCCATTTGTCCACCTACGGAGAGCAAGTAATATTGTTGAACACAGAAGAGAAGAATGTGCGATCGATACAAGTGTCACTGATCATGGTTTCGGTTACATGATAATCTCTACTGATCTCACTTAACAGAACTCAGAATGGCACAGCTCACCAAATTCACCGCAATAGCTACACACTGAATGTCATACTACCACTTATCTTCCCTTATACGAACTCTAACGCGTTACTGTGGCAATATAATTTGCAATATCTGCTTTCATAAAAAAAAAGAGAAAAAAAAATATTGGCATTCTATAGTCAAATCACATCTGATATCATATGGCTACTTTGCTTCTTATTTAACTTGCTTTCATTCTGATGTTATCGTGGCCGGGAACATCTGTTTGGACCACTCAATTTACGACCACCGCCTCATCACCATCCGATCGCTATATGCGGTTGCACATTTTCTAAATACTGACCCCGGTGAATTGAGGTGCGAGTGGAACATCGAGTTTCTCATTCAGGTTCATCCTGGATGTGGAGCCACCTCTGACATCAACTACTACACTAAATTCATAGTATTGTGTGATATCTGGTGTGCCTCAATTTCAAATTTTTTTTTCTATTTAAAGACACATCCTTGAGATGTTAACTGTTATAAACAAATAAATACATAAATATTACTGATTACCTCATATACACCAGCGTGTTCGCGCCCAATTTACCCTACTCAAAGAAATGCCAAGTCAATCAACCTAGTATCTCTAGTTGCCTCACTTCATGCATTGTTACATTGCGATGACTAATAAATAAATAATAATATAAAAATAAAAATCTGTTGCGGGTTTCTCTGAACGAAGTAATGAAGGCTTTTCAGGAGAGTATGCCCACAATCAATAGCTAATTTAAGAGTGCGACTGCTCCAAGTGTCGCACCGTAACTGGTGATGTGGTTGGCCTGTGCGAATCCTTTGTAATTTGATGCAAACTGCCCCACATGCGAATCACCTCTACGCTCGGAATGCGCACTGAGTAGGGATCAGCCCCTCCTCCACCCCCCTTTCTCCTACAATATTTTCATCCCTTTGTTCAGAAAGGTCAATTAAGAAGGTAGCAGATATGGAGGGAGTTTAGGGGGAGCAGATATGAAACTAAATCCCTAATCACCGCCTGAACTCACATCAGATGGCACACATCTCATTTCAAACGGCACTTCGACACATTAACCTGCCTTAGTTAGTAAATTTTCTAGGAAATATTTGCAACGATTATATGCGAGAGTTTTCCCCTCACATGATGGCGTTCTCTACAGTTATAGAGAACTGGAGATCGAAACACTTTGCTCAAAGTACGCCCCAGCCAAGCTTATTTTGAATGAGATTCAAACCGTAAAATCAGTGCGAAAAGGACTGAAAGTGACAGAAACTAGACCCAGCCCTAAAATTGAAAAAAAAAACACGAGATGGAACTAAACAGGAGAAAGACCTCAAAAAATAAGACAACTCACTTGCTGATATCCTCCCCTATGTCCACCTGGACCACCGTAGCCACCACGGTAACCTCCTCTTCTGTCGCCACCCATGGACTTGTTGTAGGTAGAAGGTGGTCTTTGAGGGGCACTATGTGATATCCTGGGCGCGTCGCTGACCGGTCCACCCACTAAATTCAGAGAGAGTTGAGAAATACAGTGTTTCAGATAAGGGATTATGGATTAAGGAACTCACTTGACTGCTGAGCCTTCAATGGGCAAAACACCGCGGAATGGGAATTTTCACCGGTTGCGCCACACAAACTGCATGAACGCTTGCGGAGCTCTGGACACGTCACTTTTCCGTCAGGCGCGCGGATCCTGAAAATTTTTCGAAATAGTTTGGTCAAGAAAGGACTGACCAAGTTGTACTCACACATGGGAGGTAGCGACTTCCTCAGACAAGCCCAGATTACGGCAGAACGTGCAGTCCATCTTGATGGGAGTTGAGGATGTGTCTGAGGCCGGCATGGGCTGTACAGAAGCCATTGGAGGAGCATCTTTGATGCGTAGCTCCAGATTTTCTTTTTCTGGTAGCTCGTCCTCAT